CATAGGTGGAGGTGTTCTTTAGTCCAACATACTCCCTAACAACCATGTTGGAGGTTACACTGCAGAGTACACAGGACAGCATTTAGTTTCTGGCAATATCAACACATTTTTTTCTTGATTGTACAGTACAGATCACAGGCAGGCCCAGAGGTGACTGGGTGATGTGCAGGTATTATCAAGTGATTGGACATTTGGCCGAGCTGTGAGAAACCTCATAAAACCCCTCCCATTCCTACCTTTTAAAGTGGGGTGCACATGGAAGGGCTTTTCACAATACAAACACAAACAATTCCCAACACACCTACCAGCTGACCTTAAAAACAAAAACAAATTACTTTGTCTAACACTTTGAGTTAAAAACAGAGGTTTTAGTTGCACAACTTTTGCAAAATATGTGGAAGCCTCACTGTCACATCAACGCCCCTCTGTGTAATGTGGTCCTAAGTCTAATCTATGGGAGCCTCTAATGGGATTGCATCTAAGGGCACCAGTGTGGGTTTCCTTAAGAAAAAGAAGCCCGCTTTGACCTTCCCAGCACATTCTTTATTAGAGGAGGTGCTTTTTGGGAATTGGCAACATCCGGAAATAGCATATGTCCCTCCAAAATGATTAGCACAGCAATATCTCTTAGAGCATTGGTTCTCAACTGGTGGGTCGTGACCCAAAAGTGGGTCGCGACCCCGTGTTCAGTGGGTCGCCGCATGTCTTCCACTATTCTAGGCTCCTCTGCCTCCCTCTAGTGCAGCACTGTCAGTTCTCCTGCCAAGCAGCCATTCAAAATATGCTGCCCAGTGCAGAGTTTCAGCTTGAGGTGAGATTGGATGGGGCTATGTCCGTGAGGGAGCTCCATCCATACATGCATTGCTTACAGCTCCCTCACGTGTTCTATAGAGGTGCCTGAACCAGAGTGACTTTTCATTTGTATGGTACCCCAAACGCATTTCCCACCCACAGTTCGTATGCCCGCACCAAAACATGCAGTACCCTAATGTTGTGCGTTCCATTGCAGTGCAACTTGGGTTGCGACCTAATGACCAAGGACAAATGTGGGTCCTGAGGTTACATGGGTTGAGAACCACTGTCTTAGAGGACACATTCCTCAAAAAGTGGATGGTGCTGGAGGTAGATGCAGCTATTTCATGCCTTTTACAAATCCGTCATCATACCAGTGGAGGATGCCCCCAGCCTTTAAAGAACGAGTTGACATGCACCTTGAAGGGTTGTTCAAGGCCTCTTTTGCCCTTATTGGGCCTATCCTACAACAAGAAGTAGTTTCTATGGAAGTGTTGTAGTTTTCCTTCCCGCTATCTCCTCTGCTAGGAGGGTTTCAGAGCCGGCAACATCATGCAAAGAATCGTTCCTTGTTCTTTACAAGGATAAGGTCATTATAAAGCGTAGAGATCACTTTTTGCTTAGGTGGTGTCCTTGTTTCATCTTAATCAGGACATTATTATTATTATACAGGATTTATATAGCGCCAACAGTTTGCACAGCGCTTTACAATTTTCGGAAGACATTACAATCACAATACAATTCAAGATAAGATGGTAAGGAAGGCCCTGCCCATGAGGGCTTACAATCTAAAATGGAGGGGCCTGTGACACATGAGGAGGTAGCTGTGTGGGGATGAATTGTTTGATAACGTGATGGTTCAGTGGTTGGGTTGAGGTGGGATAGGCTTCCCTGAAAAGATGAGTCTTTAGGGAATCAGCATTCACTCTTTTTGTCCTGCTTCAAAAATTCTAGGGAGGTCTCCCTGTCCTACTTGAACGTGATTTGAGTTTATCTTTTGTCTTCAGCTTTGCTCAGACAATCTGATTGTCACTTTGTCCTTCCTGAAGGACTTTGCAGTGGGCCTCCTGCCTCTTCCACTATTTCTCGGTGGATTGGACAGGTCATTGTGCACGCATATTCTGTTAAGAGTAGGACTCTGCCCTTTTCTGTAAAGATGCACTCTACTAGTTCTGTCCGTGCCTTTTGGGCTTTTTGGCATCGGGCATCTGCTTCAGATTTTTAAGGCTGCAATTAGGTTTTCTGTTCATATGTTTACTAAGCTCTACCATGCTTGCTGTTCGGGGTTTTGCTGATGCTAGTTTCGGTCATAAGGTGCTGCAAGCTTGTTTCTGTTATGTGGGCCTGTTGGTGGTGGTTTGCTGTGTTGCCCACCCGTCTCTTCTGTTGCTTTCGGACGTCACAGTCATCTCTGAATTTGCCTGCTTCCTGAATTGTATGATCAAAAACACAGGATTTTTGACTTGCCAGTAAAATCCATTTCTTAGAATACAGTACTATACATAAGACCCTCCCCTCTATGTTATCTATTGTTTACTAAAATTCTTGGGAAATGGAGGGGGTTATATGAGGATCCTCACAGCTCCGGCCAGTGTCCAATCACCTGATGATACCTGCATATTACCCAGTCTTCTCTGTATCTGCCTGTGTCCTATGCTGTGCTCCAAGAAACAGATTTTACTGGCAAGTCAAAAATCCTTTACTTGCACTCATCCAAATATATATATCGCGAAATGCAGTCAATGGTATATTTAACATACCAAACGGGAGCTATAAAGAGAGTAATAAAAAGAGTTTATGACTAGGGTTGCCGTATACTTTAATTATACATTTGCTAAATGGCCAATGTATTGTTCCTGCAGCTTTAAAATGTAAAGCTCTTGTGGCATATTATCCATTATATGAAAAATAATCTTTTAAAATGCAGTTTTGCATTTTATATGACAGGGGTTAGAATGTTTAACACACACTATAAACCATTTAGTTCAGGTATATATGGTTTATTAAATTCTTTTCGACTTTCCTATGTAAACATTAAGCAGTCCCCTTTTAAAACAACACCCTTTTAAAACAACCACTCAAGCTAGTTTCTAGGGCCACTCTAATTGTCAAAAACTGGCTATCAAAATGCCAGGCAGGAATCGCTTTGTATTGCATACAGGAGCAGCTGTCAAATGCTGTAGATGGTTTGTAAGTGTCATTGAGTATTACAGTGTAACAATGTTTTGTTATATTGTACCCTACTATTTCATTCATATGCAGATAAAAGGTGTTGTGACCTTTTGATCTGCAAATTACATCACTTAAAGAAACCTTTCAAATATATTTTATATATATATATATACACACACTGAGTGGCCAGATTATTATGACCACCCCATCAGTACTTCGTTGGGCCACGAGATAACTCCATGAGATGACTTAGTTGGGTTGCCTCGTGACTCACGAGATTTTGAAACTTTGATGCGAGGAATCTGACACTGCACTGTTGCCCTTCTGTTGTCTTGTACCAGTCTTGCCACTCTCCGTTCTGCCCTAACATTGACTAGTTTTCTGACGGCCATAATTCGCACTTTCAGACCCAGATTTTTGTCTGATAGTTCAGTCTTTAAACACTTTAACAACAACTGCTCTTGAACATTTAACTAATTCTGCTGTTTTGCTGATACTCGCTCCATGGCTCCGAGCGCCAACAATCATCCCACGTTCAAAGGCTGTTAAATCGCGTTGTTTACCCATATCTTCAGAAATAAATCACTTCTACTGTCGTGGTAAACAACCTGCGTCAGTATTCATAGTGGTCTGGCCCTCTAGCAACTTCAGCACGAAATTATAGCTAATTATAGCTAATTTGCCGACAAACGTCAGGCGGTCATAATAATCTGGCCACTCAGTATATATATTTATTTGGGGTGGGGAATAAAATGTATTCCTATTATAATCTTTTATTATAACTCTTAGTTTACCATGATCAGCCCCATGTTAACACCTTCTCCTAAACGCTAATATTTTTCTGCTGCATTTAAAAAAAATGTTTTATGTTTTTGCTGTTAATATTTTAACTTTATTATTTTTTTTCAGTGTCATATAAATGCAGAATTAAAAAAAATATAGAATAAAATGTATACTTCTCATTTACTTTAGAGCTTTTGCTCAAATGCTAGTCAAATAGACTTTTTAAAGAAAATTTTATCTTTTTGTATAAAGATTACATTGAAAATAAGTAATAGACAATATTGTCAGTAGAAAACCTATTCCCCCCATTCAAAAAAAGAATAAATAAAAATGTATTATTTTGTTATTTAAAAGGAGAACTATGGGGTTAAGGCTTTTCCCCATAGTTCTCCTTAGGGTAACTGGAGGACACAAACTAGCATCCTCCCGTCACCCTAGGCTCAGTATGAGACGCCGCAATATACCGCGAGCTGATGCTCGCGGTATACTGAGACGCCGCAGCTGAAGCGGATCCCGACAATTGTGCCGGGATCCGCCCAGCTGCGTGACTGACAGCTGGCTCTGCCTATCTAAAGGCAGAGCCAGCTGTACCCTCCCCCGTCCGTTCCGCCAATCAGCGCTGGCGGAGCGGGGAGGGGGGAATCCAGCCCCTCCCCTGTCACGGCAGAGAGCCGTGACAGGATTGAGAGGTGAGCGAACGCAGGTATGTGTTCGCTCACCTCCCGATCTACTGAGCCGACCTGTTACAGTCTCATTGTCACAGGTCGGCTAGAACTATGAGGTGAGTGAAAAGCACTCAGTTCTCCTTTAAGTAATGACAAAGTTATCATTGAATTAACATGCTTATGGTGGAAATTTAAAAATTGCTAAAGTCCATGCGTGGTATAAAAGTAAAAAATAACTGTACTTTTGATTAACTGTACTTAATCAAAGTAAATGCGTGACATATTTAAAGGGTGTGCTGCAAGATCTTTATTATAATCCTCAACCTTTTTTTTTTTAAACATATATGTGATATAGCAATGCTCAGCCTGTACTGTTTAAATCCTCTAGCTCCACACATTCTGAGAGAGGGGCAACCATCTTATGAGTGTGTTTCATCTGAAAATACTGTTACCCTTAATGAATTGCAGTTGCAGAAAGTGCACTGTGATGAATTGCTTTTTTTAGTGTTAGTAGGCCCACACCATGTCAAAATTGCCTGATCTTCAGTTTATTCTCGTAAAGTCTTAGTTCAATACTAGACGGACATTGACTTCATCGTGATATTTCTTGACTTTGTTCTTCACCAAACAGATGTGCTCCTACACTTATCCGCTGAGATCAGGTGCAGGTCTAGCTCCTTCCACTGGCGAGCATGCAAATTATGTAATCACTGCACCATTGAACTACGGAAAACATCTTGCTTTTCTATACAGCAAGAGGACACATGATGTTATACATTTCACAGTTATAGACGTATTCTCAAAGTAAGACATTGAGAAAGTGTTTGTGAGAGCATAAAACATACAAGAGCCTGTTGCTACATAATAAAGGAAGATATTTTCAGCAGTTTGATGGTGCAATGGTCCCCGTCATCCTAAATTGTCTGTTCGTGACCACATTGTAATCTCAGTTCTGCTGTTATAGCTGCATTGCTCCCTTTCATCTTTTTTGCTTTTTCCTTCAAATAAAATAATGGAAATCTATACGTGGTAAAATATATAAGTAGCTTTTGCCTTCCTTTTTTTATTTGGCTATCTATCAATCAAATGGCTTCAGTACATTGAATTATTGACTTGGAACAAGCATTTCATTTCACCTTCATTTGCTGCAAATACTGACCCAAAAATTATTAAAGGCAGAGACAACCAGATAAAATTTTGTGAAAAACGCACTTAAATGCCCCAAAACACAATAAAATACCAATTTTTGTTAAATAAAATGTAAAAGATGAGGTTACAGCGAGTAAATAGATACCCAACATGCCCAGGTTAAAAATTGTGTGCGTCCGTGAAACGTCAACAAAATGCAGTACCCCAAAAAGTCTACGCTTTATTGCTCTTACTCGTGGCGATACCCAACATGTGTAGCGCTTTAGTTGTTTTCATACATGATGATTATTATTATACAGGATTTATATAGCGCCAACAGTTTGCACAGCGCTTTACAATATATATGCTTTTATACATAGGCACACCCGACGCGTGCTCGCGGGGACTGTAAAAAAAATGTACAATTATTTTTACATTTATTTTATTGTTCATTTTAAAAACTGTTTTTATTAACTTTAATTGCTATCACATAGGGGGGCTTCAGGAACCCAGCACTGACAGCTATGGGACCGGAAGTGATGCAATCTGCAAACGGAGGTTCGTCGATCTCCTCCCCAGCTTCCCGCCGACACCAAACAAGCCGGTCCTGGGCCCGTAGGAGGGGCAACGGAGCCCGGGAAGCACGGCATGGGGGGGGGCACCGGCCCGTAGAAGCGATCTGGAATCAGCTGAGCCACCAGAATCGCTTCTACCGACCGTCGGCTTTACAAGTTTAAACAGTCGGTTTAAACAGCACCGATGCCAGCGACGTACACTGTACGTCGTTGGTCGTGAAGGGGTTAAAGCTGAACTCCAGTCAGGTTTAAAAAATGTTCTATTTACTGCACCGCATACACACACACTGCAAGTGTTAAATACTGCTTTTGCTTAGGAGAATAGCTAACGATTATTTTCAAAATTGATTAGTTAGCCGATTATTACGTTCGATTAATCGGGATTTAAAAAATGGCTCTAGTGATGGACTACTAGTTTGTATTGAGATTGTAGTCCATCACAGGAGCAAGCTTGGAGCGGTGGAAGTAAAAAGAACATTTAAAAAAAATGTGTGCAATATAGTGAAATGGAAAGTGTAAAATTATACAGCAATGAATGCAGAATGGCACTGGCTATAGAGCACTACAAATCCCAGCAATAGTACATTATACAGCGCAATGCAGAATACCACCAGCTAAAGAGGAATACAACAAATTCCAGCAATAGTACATTATAGCTGGCGGTATTCTGCATTGCGCTGTATATAATGTATTATTGCTTGGATTTGTAGTCCTCTATAGCTGGTGGTATTCTGCATTGCGCTGTACAATGTATTTTTGCTGGGATTTGTAGTCATCTGTACAGTGCAATGCAGAATACCACCAGCTATATTGGGATTTGTATTCCTCTATAGTTGATGGTATAATATACAGCGCAATGTACCTTCAGCTATAGAGGACCACAAATCCCACTATCCCAGCAATACATTATAGAGCACCATGTAGGGGGGAAAGTGCAGGCTTACCTGGGCAGTCTTCCAGCAACTTGCTTCTGAGATCGGGCCTGTCTGTCGGCGGCTGTCATCCCCCCCCAAGCCTGCTCCTCCTTACTTCTTCATCCTCTCCCTGCGTCCCCGTGCCGATCGTGGATGTGGGCGGGCTGTGATCATGAAGCGGGGAGGAGGTGCAGCGTGTGGATGCGAGTGGGCGGGTCTGGCACAGACGAGCGTGAGGTGGGGAGGAACAAGGTGGGGGAAGAGGAATGGCTTCTGGGGATTGGCCTAAGTGGAGGAAGTTATACCGTAAGTAATTCTGCTGACTGGAGTTCAGCTTTGAAAATGTGGCTGGAATTCACACTGTTAGCAAGTTTGGCTTTATTTTTCTAGGTCAGAGAATATGATTTTGAAGAGCACTGGCTATGTATAGCCAATTAGTTTTTAGTTTGTCTAGGTTATATTACTTGAAGATGTTTGCTGTTTTGTGTTTATTGGTTCTTACTGTTAGAAGATTGTTTTACATTTTAATAATTAAGCTTGCAGTTGTGTAGCACAAGATTTATGGACACCCGCTGCATATGTATTCCACAGTAAATCCAGCAAATTTCTGATAACTTAATCTACTCTACAAATTTGATTCAGCAGAAGAAAAACAACGTGGCTTATAGCTTTACATTCTCCCCAGAGACCAAGATCATGAAAACAAAAAGACTGATTTGAAAGTGGAAAAGCTTAATTGTGTCTGTTTAAACAAAAATCACTAAAGTTAATCCTGTTTGTAGGATAATCCTAAAATAAAAAAGCCACAAGTAGTTTGATGACCTTGCACTTCTACAGAAAACAGTCTTTGTGAAAAAAATAAATTACTGTAAAGTAAAACAAGTGCCATATGTGCATAATTGCCAAAAATTATAAAAACATTTACCAAATAATTCTAAAGTTAACTGACGCTTTGTTCAGTATTGAAAACCTTTTCTTCTTTTGAATAGTTCTGTTCTCTCAATGTGTTCAATTCTGGGGGTTTTTTTCACAATTTACACAGGAATGGCTTCCTTGACTTGAGTGTTTTAGGTGACCTGGCACAATTCCATTTTTATGTTTTGTTTTGTTTCTTTTTCACTTTGGTTTCATTCTATAGTAAATGTGTGACTATTATTGTGGAAAGTGTCTTCTAAGTATATACATTTAATCAGTTCACAATTATGTCTCCTATGTTAATTTAGCAGCTGTAGTTGATCTTAGTTTTTTCTTATAATGTTTCAGTTTTGTGTATTGCACATATGCAGTATATTCACTTTAGACTGTGTAGTCAAAAGTACTGGAGAGTCATAGATGTTGCAGAGTAGGACGGCTTGCAAAGCATCAATTCTTGCAAAGACTTGCTTTTTGCAGTGTGCACAGTAAGTCTGAGTTTGCTCAGAAAAGTATTCTTCTGTTCAATGCTAGTTCTCCATTCCAGCTCCAACCTTTTTTATTTTTTATTTAATTTTATTTTTTTTATCTGAAAGGGAACTGTATGGCCAATAAAATTTGATTTCACTCGCATTTTTTTTGCATTCGTGAAGCAGTTTTCTGTTTTCCCTGATGCTTTTTGATGCATACCTTTCCCTTAAGACCTCACAAAACTCGAGCATACAAAAGCAACTTAATTTTGACTCTTGAGGCAGATTCCTAAGTGAGAAGCATTACCACTTGTAACTTAAAACTGTTCTTCCGGGGCCTTTTCTCACTCTGCTTTTGTTGCCTTTTATCCCACTGGATACAGCTGCCAATGAACTTGATTTTTTTTCCCCTTCTGATCATTCATGTGCATCAGTCGCATTGTCTGCAGCATGTTGAAAAACCACAGCTTTACTGTGTTATTTACTGAACGATTTGACTTAAATATTTGGGAACTGCTTTCTTCAAAGTGCATGCTTCTGCCGGATTTTTTTTTTTGTTTGTATGGAAGAAATATAATTATAATACACAGATTTTTCCCCTGAAGCCTATGGAGCAGATGCATTTGATTAGGATTGTTGAACCCTTTATTGTAATGTAGATGCTTTCAGGCTCAGAAGAATTTCTCTAAAGAGAAGCATGAACAGAAAAAGGAAGAGGAAAGAAAGCCAGGGGGAGAGAAGGCATTGTAGGATGTAGATGAGCTCACGTGTTTTACACTCATTTTCATGCATGCTTTTTCTTCTCTCTGTTTTGTTATTGTTATCTTGGATTGCAGTGGTACTTCTCCGTTGGCTTGTCTAAATGCAATGCTTCATACTAACACTCGTGTCGGAGATGGGACCTTCTTCAAAATCCCTGGGAAGTCAGGACTCTATGCTCTTAAAGTAAGTACATTTCTTGGACACTGACCAAGTTCTATGTTCTGCTGCTTCTCAGTTACTTAATGTAGCGATTAAACCGCTTAGGAATGGGGTGGTGCTGTTAAACTGTAGTAGCTATATACTGGGCATAGGAACCAAAAAGCTGGATCTGTTAAATGTAACCATATTACTGTTTTATATAAGGGATTTTATTGAGCCACATTTGAATTGCCACATATAAGATTTGCCCAAATAAAAGATCTGGCTCACAATTAACTGTACAAACAGGTTAATTTATTAAATAGCATTTATTTATTTAGGGGGGAAAAAACCCCCACTGATATAGTAATTCATAGCAAACGAATGCATTTTAGTGGACTGTGGTCATGTTGGTGACACATATGTATTTGCTGTAGACTATTGTAATTTTTACATTTTGCCTTCCTACGTTATAACTTGAAAGCCAGGTGTTTTATGCAATCTAGCACTATTTGAACAAATCTTTCACACGTCATCATAATTTTTATAGTACGTAAAGCTAAAAATGTGTGTGGCATTGAAGAACATAGGGCAGTTCAGATTTGTTTACCTTTGCCCTATTGCATAGCTTTTAGAAAATGTGTGTAAACCTCAAAAAACATACTGAAGCCTGTATAAATTAGGGATGCACTGAAGTTTAGGCCACCGAAATATTTTGGCCGAAAATGGTACTTTGGGCAAAATGCAGAAAGTACCATAACAGCCAAAAATGTAGTGCATCTCTAGGCTTTTCTCCTCCCCGTGGACTGTGTCCCCCTCCTGTGTCGGAAGAGGCAGCGGGAATCTGAGGGGGCACAGACCAGCGTCCAGCGGGGAGAAGAGAAGCTTTCAGGAGGCCGAGCAGGGCAGTTCGGGGAGGAGTCATCTGTCGCAAGAGGCCGAGCTGCTTTTCTACACCTCCCCACTCAGCCTCCTGTGACAGCGAATCAGGATGGATCACTGAGTGTTTGTAAATAACTGAGAACATAGTATGCTGTGCCCCCAGTTGAAAATGAACAGGAAGTGCTCTACATCACTTCCTGTACATTCATTTTTGTGGACCTATTAACTCACACTCAGTATAGAGGCTTCCTGTTCATTCAAAACAGGGGCTGCAGAAAAAGAGATTTAGGACTCTGTGTCCTCAATCTCTTTCTTTTATTTTAAAAGGGAAAAATCAAGGGCCAGTTGAGACTCAAAAAAAAAAAAAAAAAATATATATATATATATACAATAGAATCATTTTAAAAATGTAAAAGGTTGGGAATAAAATGTTTGTTTTTTTGTGACAAACTTTAATTTTCAGTTTTGGTGTACAAATTGCATTTCGGTCCATCCCTAGTATAAATGCTTTCTAAATTGTGATCTGGTCTCCACAAGTATTGCCATTTCTTTTCTAGAAAAATACTTTAAATAATGAAGGTCATGGATGGAAAAAGGAAAATGTGAATCTTTTGGAAAATAACATCATACAAATAGGTTAATTTGCGTACTGCAAGCAGTGTGTCAGGTGTTTCATTCAATTTAGGTGTAAATTTGGCCTGTTCTGGCATATAAAAAAACATAATTTTGCTTACCTGATCTTTTCTGTCTTTTTATTCTACCGGGCCTGCGCTTTCAGAAAATATATGGTTTGGGGGGTCTTTTACAAACGCTAGCAACGCAGCAGTTGAAAATCAAACCAATAGGAAAAAATTGCAGAAAATTCAAAAATAGCTTGGCCAGCTGATTTGAAAAATGTTCCGGAGGGCTTGGCAGCGAAAGGGTTAATGCACACTGTGGCATGATTAGAAGGGACTTCAGCAGAAGGTCTCAGTGAAAGTGTTCTATAAAGCAAATAAGAATAGAAAGGGTTATAAAAGGATTTTTTAAAGACTTGAGCCTTTATCAGTCCACAGTGAGATCATTTACAAAGAGTGCAAAGTTTTCAGATAGCTGAATAGTATCTGCAGGCATCTCTTTCCCTTGATAAAATGTGTTTGTGAGTCTGCTATCAGCAAAACCTGTTGGAGTTCATGAAAATATTTCTTGGAGGAAACCACTGCTCTTAAAAAAAATTCTGCTTGTCTTAAGTTTGTGTAAGATCATATGGAGTTTTCACAGCACTACCGAAACAGTTTTCTGTAAGTGTATAAAAGGAAAATGTGTTTACAGGAAAAAAACACTTCATACAAATACTGTACCCTAGCTGTAAAGCATGATGTAGTGCTGGTTTACTCAGGATTGATTGGCTTGGTGTGTTTGGTTAAAGTAATTGCCAATAAGGCAATTCAACTAGTCACTATATAAAACAGGTTATTAACTTTTTACATCAATGACCTCAATAGCTTTAACAATTTGAAGATATGACAGTGCAGTTATTAGATATGTAATTAAAGGAGAAGTGGAGGGAGAGTAAAACAACCTCTCCCCCAATGCCTAAAGCTGGTGTGGGACAATGCAGCAATCACGCGTCACTCTATACCAAGTGCTTTTCTTCTGAAACTAGCAACAGCCTGGGAAGAAAACCTGTCTCCTGACAGTATGGTGCAGAGGAGGACCCTTGCTTTCTGTGTGGAAGAATTGGTCTCTATGCAGACGTCCTACCCACTCCTTGCTGAGTCAGAACTAGAGTTCTCCAGTAACCTGGTTGCATACGCTTTGATAATTGGAAATCTGTTGCATGTGACTCAGCAAGAGGAGAGTTGGACCTCTGCAAAGAGACTACTGCTTCCACGCAGAGAGCAAGGATCCTACCCTGCAGCATGCTGGCGTAGGCAGGCTTTTCTACCCAGACTGTGGCTGCTTTCGAAGGTAAACCAACTGTAAGACTTTAAATACCTTTTTGTTTTGATGCTCAAGGAATATACAGTATGTAGCTGATTTAAACTAAAAGTTTAATTGGGGTTCAAATAACTGTGCACTGCTCAAAATTCTGCTTAGGGATTTTTGTGTAAGATTAGTAGAGTAGTGGGTGGACTTAAATATTTTTTAAAGGGGATCACCATAGAATTTGTTCAATTCTGCATTTTCTGTTTGATTAGTATCATTGCTGTTTTTATCAGAAAGAAGAGTCTAGTTGTCCAGCTGATGGGACACTGGAGATAGGCTGTGAATCTGAGTTGGATGGGACAGAAATGGCAGAGGCAAGCAGCAATGGAGAGGAAAATGAAGGTATGTGTTGTTTGTTAGATCATCAATTGTCTATGTACTCTATAAAAGTAGTAAATATTTAAAAGGATACTATCTTATATTTTCAGAAAGCACATATTGGCAAAGTAAGTCAATAATGTAACCCTTATCTGAAAGGTTCCATTTGTAGATTCTCTAGCAGCTATCTGAAAACCAGGAAGTGCGATAGGTGTCTTTTGGTAAACAGCTAAGATAGGATCAGTTGAAGAGAATACTTAAAGAGACCCTGTCACCAATTTAAGAAAACTGCAGGTAAAATCAAAGTATAAATTTAAGTATAAATTTAGAATAAAGTATTCTAAATGCTTACTTTGCAGCTTTTTTTCTGTTAATAAACAATTTTTATTGACTCACAATATGCCTCTGAATTTGTTAGGAAACTGACACTGCAGTACGTGTATATTACGTAGCACAGACCCCTCCCTCTTGCATGTCATAGCCCTCTTATATTCTAGGAGATCCTTATTACTGTGTATACTGACCAAGTTCCTCCATCCCTCCCCTTCCTATATATGTAGCAGCAGGGGAAGGAGTGAAGAGTATCACGAATGACAGCTTAAAGTCTGCTAAGGCTGCTGACATTACATCCAAGATGGTGGTACCCAGCAGTAGTCTCAGGGCTTTTGGATGTCTACACAAGGAAGGCTTTTACAGGTCAATAACATAGTTAAATTATGTCAAATGCTCATATAGGGAATAATTGTTGCTGAAATAAATGGTCAGGGTCTCTCTAATCTTTCTCTTTTTCTAATTTCTCTGTCAAAGTGCTTCTCTGACTTTATTAAACTTGCCACTGGCTGTCTTGGTCTCTGCCGAGAAATCAGGTTATACGCAATATTGCTCCACTGAACTGCGACAGTGCCTGCTGTCTAGCATTTTTTTAGGATATTGTCTCTGTCGTTGTAGTTGAGACCTTGGAGCAGATCTCGGTGGTGGAGGTTGGGTCTCTCCCTGTGAGCTCATTCTACCAAAAAACTAGCCAAAAAGTAACTGTGGTCGAATGTTGAACTTGCCAGTTTTTCAATGAAAATCACAGGGTTAGAGCCTTCATATTTTTCTGTCTGGCCTATGGCTCTCATGTGTAGCGTCATAGGTAATTCTCCTTGTGCTTAGTTTAGGCCTCTGCTGCAGCAATTTTGCATTCTAAATCTGTCACTCTATTTGGGACTGGATAGCAAGTGTCCTCTAAGTTGCTAACCCTTCTAACATTTTCTACCACTGTCACTGCCTTGTTCTTTGTCCACATACACAAATGCTTGTGCGAAGTGTTGTTTGGGCTGCCACTTACACAGCCCAGGAAGGTGACATGTAAGCACTGTTATTACCCTACCAATTAGCAAAGGATCTACATCATAGGGAGCCATACTTCGACCCTCCACCTGTGGTGAAGCTGCAAATCTCATCATGCATCTGCCTCTGGGAGTATTGGCTGTGGCTGTCAGAGTCTTGTAATGGCTAATGAAATTTGTAGTTTCACCACAGCTGGAGGGCTGGCATTTGGCTACCCCTGGTTTACACTATAGTCAGTGAGGAAAAGCAACATTGAACTGGAAAAGTGAGAAAAGGACACTTCCACTGACTTAAAAACATAGTGAACCAAATAAGGGCATAGGGTTAAATACACAAATAACAAAAAAAACAAAGCTTTTACCTGCATTATAATGCACTTTATACAGTAGATATAAAAAGTCTAAATTTTTTGAGTGTAAAGAAAATCAGACAAAGATAAATCACTTCAAAATGTGTCCATTTTTAATGTGACCTATAATCTGTGCAATTTAATTAAAAACAAACTGAAATCTTTAAAGGGGGAAAAAAAAATGTACATGGTAATCATGGCTGCATAAATATGCACACCCTTAAACTAATACTTTGTTGAAGCACCTTTTTTGATTTATGACAGCATTCAGTCTTTTGGGGTAGGAGTCTATCAGCATGGCACATCTTGCCTTGGGAATTCTTGCCCACTCGTCCTTGCAAAAGCACACCAAATGTATCAGATTGTGAGGACATCTCCTGTGCACGGCCCTCTTCAGGTCACCCTATAGATTTGCAATTGGATTCAGGTCTGGGCTTTGGCTGGGCCATCCCAAAATTGGATCTTCTTCTTGTGATGCCATTCTTTTGTTGGTTTGGAGGTATGCTTTGGGTCGCTGTTGTGCTGAAAGTTGAAATTCCTTCTCATCTTTTGATTTTTCAGCAGAGGCCTGAAGGTTTTGTGCCAAAATTATCTGATATTTGGAACTGTTCATAAGTCCATCCACCTTGACTAAATCCCCTGTTCCTGCTGAAGAAAAGCAGCCCCAAAGCATAATGCTGCCACCACCATGCTTCACTGTAGGTATGGTTTATTTTGGTGACGCACAGTGTTCTTTTTGCCCAAAACCTACTTTTTGGGATTATGGCCAAAAAGTTCAATTTTGGTCTCATCAGACCATATCAAATTTTCTAACATGCTTTTGTAAGACTATGTAGGTTTTTGCAAAATGTAGCCAGGCTTGAATGTTTTTCTTAGTAAGGAAAAGATTCTACCTTGCCAGCTTACTCCTGAAGAATACAGGAGATTGTTGTCACATGTCTGTCATCCAGTAAATTCTTGCAGCTCCTTTAATGTTGCTGTAGGCCTCTTGGCAGCCTCCCGGAGCAGTTTTCTTTTTTCATCAATTTTGGAGGAACGTTCAGTTCTTGGTGTACTGACTACTACTTAACATCCATTTGAATGTAATTGGTTAATTCTGAACCCAGCCGCATCCTTAATTATAAGAGGGTGAGTACACATATGCAGCCACATAATTTTTTTTCTCCACTAAACAAGTTCACTTTGTTTTTCAATGTAATTGTACAGATTATAGGTCACATTAAAGGTGGGAAACAATATATGTTTATATTTATATGTGCGTTTATTTTTATTTAATTTGATAATACAGCTAAAATGTCTTCCTTTGTTTTGGTTATTGCAAAGTGAAGAAGGCTTAGAACCTCTGTCAGGGTGTTATATCTGTGTCTTCATTTCTCTTCATTTTCTGACGGTGATCACTAAAACAGGAAGTGAGAAGAAATATCTTCAACCGTGGACACAGACATTAACCATTTTTGTAGAACATTACAGAAAGCTTAGAACTCGTGTTAAATATTTAGCCCTGGTTGGGTTCCCATTGGGGAATTTTCCCTCACCAGGACAGTAGTTGGGTTGCAAGCTCCCCAGTGGATACATAGTGGCAAAAAGCCTGCCAGAGATTCTAACCTTTTCACACTCTCTCCTAAATAGATTTGGCTAGAGTTCTACGTAAATTATAGTTCTTTAACGGACAGTATTCCTATGTTTTTAAGAACCAGTAATGACAAAAATGTCTTTAGGATTAAAATGTATTTCCTAAGCCCACCCCCCTCTTTACTGCAGACGTCTTTAGAAAACAAACCCTTAAGCTGGCCATACACCTACAGATTATCTGCAGATTTTCGATGCTCAAATGGAAAAAGTGTGGATGGAGATTCCTCCATCTACGCTAAACTGTGTGGATGGAGGAATCTGTTGCACTTTTTCCATCTGACCATAGGCTGATAGAAAAAAGAATTATAGGTGTATGGCCAGCTTTACCTTGTCCTCTGCTATAAATCGCTGTCTTTAAAAGGTAAATGCAGCGTGATTGTCATTGGCGAGCTTGCCGCTGACATGAAACACTGCTGAAACTCAATAGCTGAGCTACAAATCGCTGTAAAGTTACTGATGGTGATTCCATAGAAAATGACCATAATTGCCTTAGTGAAGAAAAATTGCTGCAAATAAATTACCTTTCTGACATGACCCTTACAAGTGTGTTTTCTTAAATGAAAAAAAATCTCTTGCAAGTATAATTATAAAAATATCTCAGATGTTTGCAACAGTTGCAGCGGGATGTTCATGATTGCGTGGCTCAGGTAGACAGACAAAATCATTGAAAATCATGTGACGTATGAGTTGGTCGGGTTTGCTGAAGGTAATGTTAGTTATATGTGACAGCAGTGTCCTAAGAATATAAATAATAATACATATAAACAGACCATTAAGATTCCTGAGATTATCCCCATGCTACAAATTCAGGTGTGAATGATTCTAAGGATTTGTTGTGCCTTCAGGGTTGGGGAGAATATGATAAACTCCTTCATCCGGATTAAATACAAATTTTGGTTCCCACTGGCCATGAGTTCCTATAAAAATTGTATTTTTTTTATAACTATCTAATGCCAAAATGTTTTGCAGCTGAATGTATAATTTCCTGTGGTACTCACTCACTTTTTTTTACAATGCTTTTGATGTCTTGAACCTACATTTTTCAAGCTTCCAGAAATACCTGGAATATTTTTTTTATGAATCAAGGAAGTTAATAAAACATTTACTTAAATTATGTAATTTATGCAAGTGCGTTAATATGACTTCCTCACCCTCCGTTAACACCTTGCTAAGCATGATGGTTGTAAAGTAATTTAAAAAAGTACGATCTGCCCATCTTGGACAGGCAGAACGTACTTGCGATCATCGCAAGCCCGCCCCCCTGAGGGACGTACTACCGATGACCGCAATGCTGAACGGCATTTGTCTCCCGATCATGCCACAAACCAGCCGAAAATCGTACGATTTTCGGCTGGTTTTCGAACATGCTCCTTAGACAAAAGACATGCGACCGTACAGTAAAAACGGTTGCACGCCTGCCATACACTTAGCGATTATCGGACGATCGCAGGATTTCCCGCGTTTATCGTGCGATAATCTCACAGTGTATGGGCACCTTTAGACTGGGAAAATGAGAGAGACAGAGCCAGCAATATGGGAACAATCAGGTTATATTGAATTGCACAGTGCTGCCCTTCTATAACTATAAGCTCTCTGACAGGTGTTACCGAAGTGATGACCTTATCGATGTGTTGTTCCTTAAAGAGATACTGTCACTTTACCTATTCAGGATCCCCCTCCCTGCCCCAGTTTTACTTGCATTTGCAGCAATCCTGCCCCATTCCTGCCTCCACTGCTTTTGGGTAGAAACCTAGTGCTTCCATGTATGGGGAAGCATGTGGCCCTGAGTCCAGGTCCAACTAGGGTCAAGCATTGTGTTATGATGAGGGGGGTGACATTGCCTCTCTCCCTAGCACCTGACAGATCGAATTCCAGTGTCAGAGGCAGCAGTGTTGCTGAAATGTTGGTAATGTGGGTATACCTGGGGTGGAGGGGGACTTTAGAAACACATTGACACTTTTCCCTGAATATCTCTTTAACTGTCTAGTAACAGGCTGAGGGTGGTTGGTGCTGGATCAGGCAGTAACATTTAAAACACTGTAGTCTGACACAAGGAGGGTAGAACCTAGATGTGTTGTCTGACAGGATCTCAAGACTGGCTAAACAGATTTACTAATGCCGAGGCAGCTAAAATAGTTCACATGTATGCATTTCAGCTGTGCATTTAGCTGCCTCCTTGGAGCTCTGCCGTAATGATAGTGAATATCATGCTAACACATCTCATAACATTTAAGAAAAAATAAATAAAGCTCTGTAACAGGGGTCTCAAAGTATCAGCCCCTGGGTCTCTCCTGGCTGTCTCTCTCTTTCTGCTGGCTGTCTCTCTTTCTCTCCTGGCTGTCTCTCTTTCTCTCCTGGCTGTCTCTCTTTCTCTCCTGGCTGTCTGTCTCTCTCTCCTGGCTGTCTGTCTGTCTCTCTCTCCTGGCTGTCTGTCTGTCTCTCTCTCCTGGCTGTCTGTCTGTCTCTCCTGGCTGTCTGTCTCTCTCTCCTGGCTGTCTGTCTCTCTCCCCTGGCTGTCTCTCCTGGCTCTCTCTCTCTCCTTCTCCTGGCTCTCCTTCTCCTGGCTCTCCTTCTCCTGGCTCTCCTTCTCCTGGCTCTCTTTCTCCTGGCTCACTCTTTCTTTCTCCTGGCTCTCTCTCTCTCTCTTTCTCCTGGCTCTCTCTCTCTCTCTTTCTCCTGGCTGTCTCTTTCTCTTGGCTCTCTTCACTCTCCTCTCTCTCTCTCTTCACTCTCTCCTGGCTCACTCTCTCTTCACTCTCTCTCCTGGCTGTCTCTCTCTTCACTCTCTCTCCTGGCTGTCTCTCCTCGCTCTTTTTTCTGGTAGTCCCTCCTCGCTCTCTCTCCCGGGTGTCTCTCCTCGCATTCTCTCATGGCTGTCTCGCCTCGCTCTCTCTCCTGGATCTCTCTCCTCACTCATTCTCCTGGGTGTTTTTTTTCTGCTGCCTCTCCTTACTCTCTCTCCCCTGGCTGCCTTTCCTCGCTTTTTCTCCCCTGGCTGCCTCTCCTCGCTCTCTCTCCCCTGGCTGCCTCCCCTGGCTCTCTCTCCCCTGGCTCTCTCTCCCCTGGCTCTCTCTCCCCTGGCTCTCTCTCCCCTGGCTCTCTCTCCTCTGGCTCTCTCTCCCCTGGCTGCCTCTCCTCGCGCTCTCTCCCCTGGCTGCCTCTCCTCGCGCTCTCTCCCCTGGCTGCCTCTCCTCGCTCTCTCTCCCCTGGCTGTCTCTCCTTATGCTGTCCCCATTGAAGAAGAAAACATGCCCGGTGGCCCCCAAGTCATTTGAGTTTGAGACCCCTGGTCTATAGATTGTTAAATATTTTCTTTCTTGTATGCATACTTTTTATGTTCTTTTAAATTGTTTTGTTTTTCAGATGTAATGTCTTTTTAAAAAATTACTCACTTGCTTTTTTTATGTGCAGTGTGCCTGAAGCAAGTCACTGAAGAAGCATCTTCCAACCGAGTGCAGAGCAAGCTAGTGTCTTCCTTCCAGCAGCATACCAAAAAGGCACTAAAGCAGGTAGGTACACTTTTAATTCTTGAAGTTTTGTAGACACTTTGGTGTCATTGTGAACCCTGTCCTGTAGGATTTTAGCATAAAAGGTAGTTAGGTAGTTATTTGGTCATACCACGCGGCACTGTGAAACACATCTAGTTAATGTGTGATTTATGGACAGTACTGAAATGTTTGTTCTCTAATGGTGCTGCACTTTAAACATTTTCTTCCCAATGGTAATGGTGAAACAGCTGTACAAATGTGTACCCTAAAAACACCCTTGCTGAAGCTTGCAGTTACAGTTTTTCACTCTTTCCATGTGGTCTGTACAGTGGTGTGTTATTAAAACCCAAGTAGCTTATTTAGAAAGGGTTTGTTATTAGTTGGAAGTTTACACTTATATGGTTGAAATTTTTTTTTTATTTAGATGCTTTTAAATATTTGTTAACCTAAAAATAGCATCCAATGTGTGCCTGGCCTAAACCCACTGTATTACTTTTTGTTCATGTTGCTGTACATATCTTTGTAATGTGTTTGTACATGGAGACATTTAATGACAGCACTGTATCTTATGGGAAGTGTGTGATCTATGCTTACTCCTAAGAATAAGAACTCATAACTGACCTTTTAGGTACAAATTGCAGTAGTCTGACCTGGGAAAGGTAGAGATCTACAGATCTAGGATCTGTATACAGTAAAGAGATCCGGAGTCCTTTCAGACACCAGATCAGATTACTGCATTGTGTATTCAGATCTCTGTATTATATTTAGTTATTTCAAAACACTTCAGATCAGATATACTGAGTAATCGTAGGCATGTGGTATTCTGGTGGTCCTGTTTCTTAATCGCCCAATGAAGGACACAAGAACTCTCTAAGAGTCATGTTATACTGCCACATACAGGAGGTTGGGGCACAGGCAAAAAGAAAAATTGTAAGCCAATAGTAAGCTGAAAAAAGTCTAACTTACCGATTTGCTAGCTTTCTAACATTTGTGACTTCAGTCAAGATTTTTTTGCTACACTGAGGGTGTTTTTTTTTTTTCTCTGTGACTTCAATCAGGATGTTGCTTGAGCTGCTGTACTTTCGCTTGAGCTGGTCTCTGAATAGCAACTGCCGAATCAGCAACTCCTCATTACCAATTCTGGATGAATGCGGGTCTGGCTTGGAATGTTAACTTTGGGCATTGGTTTCTGCATTTTGTGCTTTCCAGTTAGCAGCAAAGCACATTCCCAGTCGGGAGCTGCTGCACAGCCACAGTTGTGGTCCTTTCTCTGAAGACTCATATTGTGAGTAAGGCCGGTCGGTCTGAGGTATCGGTAGCTACCTCACTAAAGCAACATTGGGTGCCATTTTAAACTTTCCGCCAACACTGCTTTCCTTCAGTGAGAGTTAAGACCGATGGATCAACATGTGGCCATCTTTGCCTGATGTTGCCATCTTAAAGCTTATGTTGCAATCTCTGAGTAGTTTTGATGGAAGGCTGTGCTGTGCTTTGCTGTTGAGGATGGAATCAAAAGAGCACCAAGAGTGTAGAGTCTGGAGTGTAAAACAATTGAGGCATGTATCTTGCCACACGGGATTCACAGAGGGAGCTATGTGTAAACACCATGGATCTGGTAAAGATAGGCTGAGTAGGGGGGACCCCATCAGATGTCTTGGGACCTCAGTGAGTGCCGGGAGAGCTGGTGTGGGGAACTGCAGTTAGGACAGCTGGGCATTGTGATTACTGAGCACCATGATTACTGGGGGCACTGTGACTACTGATTACTGCTTGGCACAGTGATTCCTGCTAGGGGAACCATGACAACTGATTTACTGTGATAAGTGCATAGGTAGTGTCTAATCTAATACAATACCATTTATTGTAGCAGCCCCAGTGCAGAGATAACATAAATTAATTGTACACTTAAAGGGTTGCTGTGCAAATCAGGGCTGAGTTGGAAGCAACTGGGAACAGCAACAACTCAACCACAAAGTGGTAGGCCACGTAAAATGACAGAGTGGGGTCAGCTAATGCTGAAGCGCACAGTGCACAGGAGTCCCCAACTGTTTGCAGAGTCAATAGCTACAGACCTCTAAACTTCGTTGGGCCTTCAGATTGACACAACAACAGTGCGTAGAGAGCTTCATGGAATGGGTTTCCATGGCCGAGCAGCTGCATCCAAGCCTTACATCACCATATGCAATGCAAAGCGTTGGATGCAGTGGTGTAAAGCACGCCGCCACTGGACTCTAGAGAAGTGGAGACGTGTTCTCTGGAGTGACGAATCACGCTTCTCTGAACTGGCAATCCGATGGACGTGTCTGGGTTTGGCGGTTGCCAGGAGAACGGTACTTGCCTGACTGCATTGTGCCAAGTGTAAAGTTTGGTGGTGTGGGGTTGTTTTTCAGGGGTTGGGCTTGGCCCCTTAGTTCCAGTGAAGGGAACTCCTATGGCATCAGAATACCAAGACATTTTAAACAATTTCATGCTCCTAACTTTGTGGGAACAGTTTGGGGATGGCCCCTTCCAGTTCCAACATGACTGCGCACCAGTACACAAAGTAAGATCCGTAAAGACATGGATGAGTGTGTTTGGGGTGGAGGAATTTGACTGGCCTGCACAGAGTCCTGAACTCAACTCCATAGAACACATTTGGGATGAATTAGAGCGGCGACTGCGAGCCAGGCCTTCTCGTCCAACATCAGTACCTGACCTCACAAATGCGCTTCTGGAAGAAAGTTCAATCATTCCCATAGACACACTCCTACACCTTGTGGACAGGCTTCCCAGAAGAGTTGAAGCTGTTATAGCGGCAATGGGTGGGCCAACTAAATATTGAACCCTACGGACTAAGACTGGAATGCCTGGACAGGAAGTGGTTTGTAAACATCCCCAGTCTTCAAGTGGTTAAAGAATTAACTGGCAACACTGCAAAGCATTAACAATTTTAAAAAGAGCTTGAACCTTACCCATCCTATGCTGGCAGATGCCAGCATAGAGGAGTATGGATAAATAGAGGTGCAGGATCCAGAGGTAGGAAGCTGGGTTACAGAAGGCAGGGTAGTGGCAGATTTGAGCCGGGAGTAGGATTTTGTCTTTGTGGGAATATCAAAAATCTGGATGGACAGCAAATATCCAAAATATCCAAGCTTACACTCTCTTTAGAAGGGACAGCGCCTATCTATACCTAGGTATGCATATATATCAGGAACAATCTAAAAGTGACTGTGAGAAAAGATATACCAAATGACTGTTGCGATGGACCTGAGTTTTTATGGCTGGAGCTGCATATGAGTGCTACTAATAGGAAATTACTTATGGGAGTATGCTGTGGGCTTCCTAACATTAAGAGAAGGTGGAGAGGAATCTCCTTTCACAGATACCATAAGCTGGAAAAGAGGGTAATGTTTTTAAGGGAGACTGTAACTATCCAGACATTGATTGGACAGGATAAGACAGGATAATTATATGGGTCAAATGATAAAATCCCTAACTAGAAAAACAACAACTTTCTGCTAGTTTCTAATGATACAGAGCTCATTTCAGACATGCAAGTTTAGGGAAAACTTGGGCAATAGTGACCACAGGGTAAATTCTTTTGACATAAGTTACAGGAAAAAGAGATGTGGGTACCACTAGAACTCTACATTTTAAAAGTCCACTTAAATAATTACTATGTGATACTAAATGGGAATAAATATTCTTAACAAAGAGAAGTGGCAGTGTTATAAGAGGGTGTTAAATAATAGCATTTGCTGTTGCAGCACATTGAGTACAAAAGTTAAACCTATGCGGCTCAATTCTAGACTTAAAAGGCAAATAAAAGCAAAATAAATAGCCTTCAAAAATTACAAAACAGAAACTGCAGTTGGTTACAAGGAAAATAATAAGAAATGCGAGAATGCAATCAGAGCTGCCAAAATCGTTAAATACATTTCTTCTTCAGTTTATACACTAAAAAGAAGGAATTATTAGAAGGAATAGTAATGCTAATACCAGTGTAAGAGAAGTACCCTTATGATTGTCAGGAAACAGGGTCTGTAACAGACTAGAAAAGGTCAATATGAATAGGTCACCACGGCCTAATGGCTTACATCCACATGTCCTAAGGGAGTTTAGCTCGGTAATAGTCAAGCTACTCTTTCTTATTTTTAAAGACTCCTTAATGACTGGAATGGTGCTGAATGAATGGTGTAGCACAAATGTGGTTTCACCGTTGAAAAAAGGGTCAAGACATATACCAGGGAACTGCAGACCACTCAGCCTAATATCTATAACTAACATCTATAGTTTGCAAGGTGTTTGGGTAATGCTAAGGGACTTTATTGAATTTTTTTAATGGAAAGTGGTATTAAAAGTAACAATCAACATGGATTTATAAAAGTCCACTCTTGTCAGACGAATCTGTTAACATTCTACCAGGAAGTAAGCAGTAGGGCAGTGCAGTAATTTATCTGGATTTTGCAATAGCATTTGACAATGTGCGTGTGTTTATTTTTTTGGAGTGGGGACAAATCTATGTACGTGTATAGAAAGCTGGCTTCAGGAACGGGTACACAGGGTAGTGCTAAATGATTTAGTCTCTGATGAGCTAGAGTTTCAAATCTTGTGCGCCAGGGTTCTGTGTTGGGGTGGATGCTGTTTAATTTTTATATAAACGACATTGAGATTGGAATTAAAGTGACACTAAACTCAGAAATTAAGTAAACTATAAAATGCAGATGCATACTTACTGAGATATGGGGCAACCTTTGTTTGCTTACATCCTGCACCGAAGTCCTGTCTCAGTTGTCCACGTCTGTACAGTTGAGCCCCACAGAAGTCTATGGGGCTCGTCTTCCAGTGTCTCCTTGTTGGAAGATGAAGGTAGATAGGCCTAATAGAAGTTTATGGGGCTCTATTGCGCAAGTGTGACAAGAAGGGAGAGGATTTTGGAGTTTTGTCTAAGATTCCAAACCTCTGAGGGAGCTTGCTCTGTTCTTCTCCATTCCTGCTCCCATTCAGATGCTGAGATGCCTGTCCTTTGCTCCACAGCAAAG